CACATCGTGCATGCGTTGGTGTTTGTGGAAATTCGAGTGTTTATTGTAACCCGTTTTGTCTCATGTGTGCCCACACACACGTCTTTGTGGATTCTAGGAATTGACGTGGAAGACATTGGTTTTCTAAACATAAAGATTGGAGCAAGGACTGTTCGTGGTCAAAGAACTCAAGTTATCATCCGAGTCGGCTTCCAGGTATTTTTCCTGATTGAGTTCTTGATAAATGAATTAATCACATAAATTAATATAATCTATAGAGTATCTCAAAAGTTTTATGAAAATTTTTGTTATACACGATCCGCCTTCCCCCCGCACCACCACGCTTCCGCATCCGGATTCGATCCGGAGACCAACATTACCTACGATTGATCATCCAGAACCAGTTGACCTAAACGCTCTTGATCTGCCTTCTTCAGATGATGACAGTCCTAATGATGATTCGGTTGTTGGCGATGCTACAAACTTAGACGATTAATTTCGTTATATGTACTATTTTATTTTTCACATTATTTAGACTTTTATATTTTTTTGAACATTATATATGCACTTCATGTAGTATTCATAATATATTTTATAAATTTATTTAGATTTACTGTTTTTAATATTAATTTATATTTCACTTTTAATGTATCTTAATAAATTATATTCAGTATGTAACATAATAATGTTTAATAAAAATTATTAAAAATTAATTAATTGCCATTTTTTAAAAATTATAAAAAAAATTATTTCAGTTTTTTGCAACGACTTTTTTAGACTTGTCGTTGCAAAAAAGTAAGATTATTTGCGATAACATTTTGAAAAATGTTGTCGCAAAAAAGATCATATCACGAGAATTTTACAACGGCGTATTAGCGATGCTTGTCGTCGAAAAAAAAAATGTCATCACAAATATATTTGCGACGACACTATGTCGTCGTAAATACTTTTTTTGCGACGAATTATTTGCGACGACATATCTGCGACGACGTATTGTCGCAAAAACTGTTATTTGCGACGACACTTGGGGTTTTGCGACGACAAAAAGTCATCGCAAAAGCCCCTTTTTCTTGTAGTGTAAATTATTAACTGTTTATAAAAGAGCTATGAATTTCATATTTATAAATGAATAATGTTTTCATACTTTATGAGTCACAGCATATCGAGATATTGAATACATTTTGCTTCTCGTCTGCTAGTATATAGAGAGACATATATATATATATATATATATATATATGCATATATATCGAAAACATAGAATTGATCGAAAAAAATAAGAACAAATTATGTTTCATTCAAACAATAAAGAAATTAGGGAAAAATAAGAAGGATTTATGTTTTCATTGAAACAATAAAAGAATAAGATAATTCAAAAAGTATGCAAAGAAAGAATAGTGGTTGCAACTTAACCACCTCTTACAAACTTTATTTATCTATTTCACAAGCAAACAAGTTAATAAAATAGAGTGATCAATTATGACTTGTATTCAGAGGAAATTTGTCCACCATATCTAATTTAACACCGGGGTAGATCGGACGGTGGAGGTGGCAGAGTAGATGATGGAGTGGGTCCATTCCCAACCTCAAACGCCATGGCCAATCCCACAGGCAAGTGCACGTCTAGATGGCAGTGTACCAACCATACACCTGTGTCGTTCACGTAATTATCAGAACTTGTGAAAAATATTTTATTTTGATATATATTTGACTAGTCTTACTCGGATGGTATATAAACCAAAAAATATATATATGAAATCAAAAGTTATAAGAAGGGCCTATGTGAAAAATAAATTGATACGGTATAAACAATAAATAACAGCTCTATATATGTTGAGCAATGCTATTTGACACTGACGGTACTAATCACTAACTACTCATAAAAATTGAGCCTCACTAATTTTTTACATAAGATATTATGTCTATTATCGGACTTTAAATTCGTGTATTAACATGCCAACGGATCTATTAATTTCAGTTTGTTCTATTAAGGTTTTTGTAACTTTTCTGATTTGTTGATTTATGAAATGTTTTTTACATTAAAAAAATATACACAAAGAACTCTGGAAACCAATCCAATATCAGAAATGAATGTTTTAACCAACCTGGATTATTAGCTTGGAATCTTACTACGGCCCAGCCTCCAGATGGAACAGCGATGGTGTTACGTATCTGAGGGTTAACGAGATTGAATTTCGTACTGTCACTGACGGCATCGTAATTACCAAAGCCTTGAGCCAACACGTGAAAATTGAAACCATGAATGTGAATCGGATGGTTCTCCCGTGCTTGTAACGCCGTGTTCTGCAACACCATCTCCACCGTCGAATTGAACTTCAGCTTCTTCACCTTCGTCGATTTCGGCGCAAAAATCAGTGGTTCGACGTTGCTTAAGCTCGGGTTCGTGTAGTCAAATACAATTGGAGGGTTGTCGGGAAAATCAGTGGTGTAAACTCCGTCCACACGGCCATAATAATATGCCTCCAGCATAGACGCGTTCTGCGGGAAAACGAATGATTCATTGTTCATGCTAGCAGAGAATCTTTGCCCGTTCGGGCACGTGGCATTAATCTCTTCACACGGCTCCGTACTCAGTCCGACTGTTACGAACATGTGTTCGTCCACGACGAGCGGGACAGGGACCCACTGGGGTCCACCGGCGAGCCCTGTCAGGTTGGTGTAGAACTTGTGAGCCGTTGGGGTGTCAAGGAAATCAGGTAGGGTTGGCATCACGGAGTTGTTTGACTCGGAACCCTCGTAGGCGAAAATGCCCCTGGTGGTTGTGTTGTCAAATGGTATGACAGTCGGCAGAGGAACACTGATGTACGGACGCGCCGCCATGTAGTACGACCCGACCGGCTGGTCGGCTTTGATGAGGACGTCGACGGTCTGGCCTGGGGCGGTGACGATAACGTCGGTTTCATAGGGATCCGTGTAGCTGGCATCGATGGCAACAACAGTCATCGTGTGATTGGCAATTTTGAAGAAGAGTTGGTTATTGAGTGCAGCGTTGATGATCCTCAACATGTAGGTCCTGCCTCGCTCCACTTTGATCTTATACATATCTGATGATAACAAAATTTAAATTAATTTTAGGATAAGTATTCTGATCATAGAATTCATAAAAATTTAATTGTTTTCATGTATTAGAGTTCTTTAATTAGAGGCTTATTAATTTGTAAGCA